AGAGTAAAATCTCATCCGGATGTTATGCAGTGAGAATGGTTTCTAATGAGTTGGGTTTTCACACAGCGAAAACGGCTTACTACGCTTTAATTGACTCTCAAATAAGATATGGAATACCTTTTTGGGGAACATGCAGTGCAACCCTTCTCTCTTCTGTGTTGATATTACAGAAAAGGGCTGTAAGGTGTCTCTGTAAGGTCAAATCTAGGGATTCATGCAGGAATTATTTTGCTGCCAATAAGATTTTAACTGTCGTTGCACTGTTTATTCTTGAAACTGTATGCCTGGTATACAAACACAAAACGGAGTTTGACTTTGTTTCTTCTCCGTATGCTACTCGTAATAGCATATTTAATATCAGACTTCCCATACCCAAATCAACATTAATCAAGGATTCCATTTTTTATAATGGTGGAAAGCTTTTCAATCACTTACCAGTAGATATAAGATCTGCAAATCTGACCAATGTGCATTTTAGGAAAGCAGTGAGAAATTTGCTAGCTGATAGACCCTTTTATAGCCTACAAGAGTATTTTAATGAATCCTTTTGAAAATATGTGTAATCTATTTTACTTTTATTGTATTTGTACTTGATTTATTCTAAAATTTTTTGTTACTTATCTGTTCATATCTATACACTATTAGTTATGTTTATATTTACATGTACCTACAAACCTTTGTCAATGGGATGCAAAATCTTCTGACAATAAAGAATATTTGAATTTGAATTTGAATTTGAAATTTGAATGTTCAGAACAAAACATAGATTTATTAATGTTCATCGAAATATGATGATTGTGAATAAAATAGTATACAAACCTCGTTAGGGAGTTTCATTCCTGTCTCGAGATTATAGCTAACCTCGACCACGACGCTCGCGTCTCGGTTAGCTAACTAATCTCACGACAGGAATGAATCACTTTCCACCTCGGTGTGTAATATACTATCAATCAACATCTCAACGAAATTGCACGTTGGTATGTTTACATGACTCAAATTTTCATTTTAACCATAATTTAAATTCACCTGTTCATACGGATAATTTTTACTGGCAATATTGGCAATTCATTCTGTTCTCGTGTTCAAGAAAGATTACTCATCACAGAAATCCATTGAGATTTCAAATCGAATTGAAACGTATCGGACAATTTTTCATAATTTGGCACACATACGAAATGGTCGAGTATAGATAGGTGGGCAACTCATATTTTTCCTTGTATCGTCGTTCATTCGATGAACTATTGCTTATTTCAATCACGAAACTATATGCAATATATTTGTTTTTCTAAAGAAAAGACGCAGTTCAAATTTTCCTGAAATGAACGATAACTTTTCTGCAATACTCATACTTTTAAATATTGGTTATTAGTGATGACGAACTCGCTATTGTAAAGAAAATAATCATGAACTTGATACTATGTTCACGATCCCTTGTGTTGAGTCGATATTGTTTATTTTAATCAAAGGTCTGATGATGACTAATGCTATAAGAAATTCAAGAAATCATATGTTGAAATGTTTTCACAATGAATTGGAATGATGATGATTCTAGTAAATTGAATGAAAATGATATTTTTTAATTAAATTTATAATTCTTCATTACGCACAAAATTCACTGATCATCTATAGAAAGATAGTCTATCAATTTCGATTCATCAGGAATCAATGGTATACTAGAACAAATACAATAGGAAATTCATGATGTTTGGAAGAGGTAGATAGCGGATCCCACTATGACCCGATCAACAAGATAATAAATCATCTGAACCATGAAATGATTGAGTATGAATTGAATATCGCCAATATTGACACTCACTCTCGCTGGTGATTTTTGGAGAATATTCTGAAAGATGCAATACAGTCTGCTGATTACCTTTCTTTTCCATTTCTGTTGAGGATGTCAACAAAGTTGACGACATCTTCTTAATATTATTGTGCTTTATCGTATATGACCTTCCACAATGGTAGATTGTAGATGGGTCGTATAGGCTGAGAGACCTATCGATCACTGCGACCTAGAAGATCTATTGTGATAACCCCTATCTAGTTTTGGTCCTCTAACCCTAGACTTCTGATGAAGCCTACGATTTTCCTGACGGTTGAATTCTCCACTTCAGCAGGGGTGAGATAGACCTGTTCTAGGTGGTCCAGCATTTGGCGGACTAATACTTCACATGAGCAAAGTATGTGTTCCGCGGTTTCGGTCGCATTGTTACAAAAGCGGCATGTGTCAGTCTCCGCCAGGCCCATATTTTTGAGGTGATACCTCAGAGGGCCGTGTCCTGTAAGAAAGCCTGTGATAAGCTTCAGCTCTGGTTTGGACCAAAAAGTGCAGATGCTGCACTTTTATTTGCAAGGCGATCAGCTGCCTCATTTCCTTTGATTCCTCCATGCCCTGGAACCCACATAGGTGTGACTTTGTTGCCCTTTCCCAGTTGCATGAGTGTTTCAAAGCAGTCCCATGTAATCTTCGATTGGAAAACGAATGATTTTAGGGCTTTTAGTGCGGCTTGGCTGTCTGAGCAGATATACAGGGTGATTCACATAAGAACCGACATAGAGCAGGGGCATGTAGGGGGTCCCAAAATATGACAATTCAACGCAACTTACCTCTATACCAAGTTGCTTTCCTATGGAGTTATAGGCTTTGGAAGTGAAGTTATAAATTTCGAAAAAAATCAACATCTCCGTTATTATTGAACTTGAAGCAACCAAATTTGGAACACTTTGTGAAGGTATTTAGGGCGTTACTTGACAGTAACTAGAGTTCATTTGAAATTTGTAAAGGGGGTATACCGGGTGGCGCACCATTAGTATTCAACAGAATTTTGTTAACTCTTGACGGATTTTGAAAATCTTTGCTTTGTTTTGTGAGCAATTCAATTTTGAAACTTTTCTTAGTCTAGTAATTTCTCAGAAATCCTCATCATTGCCATCAAACACTCGAATAACTGAAAACGCGAGCTCTAGGTGTGTTATTTAAAATCATCGAAAATTCAAAAGTTGGCATGAAAATAAACGTCAAACTTGACAATGAAGCAAGTAGGTTGTTAATCAAGTAATTTATCGATGAAAAATTGTTTGTTCTGGTTTTTGTTCAAGTTTCTTGTGTTTATTTTGGTTAGTTGTTAATCCCAGTTTTTCACATTTCAGTATCTGTACTTACTTTACGTATTTTGTTACGTATCTCAATAATAATCTGCCAGCCGATTTCTACTGATCACAATAAATGACCTACTTTCTTGTTGTACGTCCATTTTCATAGCCAACTTTTAAATTTTCGATGATTTTAAATATCACTCCTAGAGCGCGCGTTTCTAGTTATTCGGGTTTTTGATGAGGTTTTTCGAAAAATTACTGGAGTAAAAAAGTTTTAGAATTGAATTGCCCACACAACAAAGCAAAGATTTCTAAAATCCATCAAGGGTCAACAGAATTCTGTTGAATATTAATGGTGCGCCACCCGGTATACCCCCTTTACAAATTTCAATTAAGCTCTAGTCACTGTCAAGTAACGCCCTAAATACATCCACAAAGTGTACCGAATTCGGCCGCTCTAAATTCAATAATAACGGAGATATTGATTTTTTTCAAAATTTATAACTTCATTTTCAAAGCCTATAACTCCTTAGGAAAGCAACTTGGTATAGATGTAAGTTGCGTTAAATTGCCATATTTTGGGACCCCCTACATGCCCCTGCTCTATGTCGGTTCTAATGTGAATCACCCTGTATATGTTGGCACCCCTCAGACCTTTGCTCAGGCACCTTTGGGCGCAAAGGTTGATGGCATGTATTTCAGCTTGAAAGATAGTGGGGGAGTGACCTAAGGCTTCAAATAGCCTACATCTGGGTCCATATACACCCGCGCCTTCCCCTTCTTCCATTTTCAAACCATCGGTGTACCAAACAAGGGACCCTCTTTCCAGCTGAGGCTCAGCGGAACCATACCTAGGGTGGCTTTTTATAACCACTTCAAAGGTATGATCGAAACTGAGCCTGGCTGGCATTATGTCCGATGGTTCGATTGCAGATTCCATTTGTACTTCTTGTAGAATGACCATGTGACCAGTGACATCACCTGGTCTGGCCAATTCAGTGGAGTTCAGTCTTTATGCACTGAGAGCTGCAGTCATCTTGATAAAAATATGCAAGAGTAGTAGGTCAAGCATAGCTTCCATTGCTGCAGTAGGGCACGTATGCATAGCCCCTGTGATCCCAAGACACGCGAGTCTCTGGATTTTTTGCAGCTCAAGTTGTGCTGTTTTTTCCTCACTTCTAGTCCACCACACTAGAGAAGCGTATGTGACCATGGGTCTGACCACCGTTTCAACAATGGTAAATCACAGAAATCTTCCATTGAACCTAGATTCCTCAAGTCACTTATATCATCGATTCACTTTTCAAAAACCTGAAGTCCCAGACTGCGGTTTGATTGAATTTCATCAGAAGTAGCGATTAAGGTCCAATTTGCTTTGATATTTGCCAGGAATACTGACGAGGCTCATCTCAGAATCCAATTGCTGGTAGAGAATCTGCAAATTATTTTTTCTAAAATCAAACAATTTTTGTGGGCAGACATTATTCAGAACAAAAACACGGCGTTCTGATCTCATATGAGATATGTATCACTCTCGGTATATTAGCATGAGTCCAAATGTGCTGAATCGATATCTTACTGTGGCCTGGATCTGATATTTAAAATTTGTCATACTACATATGTCATAAAACTCTGGATAAATGTAATCTCTCCACTCAGCAGAATGAATCGACTTTTATACTTATCGCCCTGGATAATACATTCTTGTGTGCCTTATTGATCATTATTTCTCCATTGGTTTTGATCTCAGGATATATCTATACGAAAAATCTGAAAGTAGAATATTTTGGAATGATTTTCGGAGACGAACAATCCCTTGAGATTTCATCCTCATTTAATTATAACTAGATCGAAAATTCATAATTTTCCTCTTGAAGAAACAAATCGTTTTTTTTTTGCAGGATCAATACAAACAGCACAAGATTTGGGAGGCATCCATGGAAGGATGTCCTAATAACAAGTGAACATCAAACAATTCATGGAAATATGTTCATCAGGAAAGACTTATCAGCCAGGTCCATGGTCATCAGTAATATGACAGTGAGAGGCCTCATAGAAAGTTTGAATGCCAAGAAAATTCTCAATGATGCAGTCACTATAAATCATCACCTCAGATTAGCTGGCGATAAAACTTTCAGAAACCTCATCATTGATGATCTGAAGTTGAAGACTTCTCATTTCGAAAAAGTTCTTGAACAGTTAGCTGAAAACACACTGGAATTGAGTAATGTGAAAACTCTCGAAAATGTCAATGTCGAAAGTCTCCACTTCACACAGAGTTTCAATGATGTATCCAATGTCGTTCTAAAGAATGAAAATGAAACAGAAAAAATGATGGTGGAATTGGGTGATCAAGAATTCAACTCTATTAAAGTATTTGGAAATGTGTTCATCGAATCCAATTGTTTGAATAATATCGATATGAGTGATCTTTATTTGAATACTGTGAAGGTCGATGAACCTCATCAATTTGATTTTGTAGATTTCGGTGAGTATTTATCTAGTATTTCAATGATAAATGTGTCAGTATAATTGGTTGATGAACGGAGTCTTACGGAAATCACCCATACTGAGTCGCAAGCTGATCAATGAATTTTTATAAACTTTTATCTCGAACAGATTGTTCGCCCAATCGTAACTCATAGGGCATGTGAATGGCAACATAACAAGAGACTGATTTGGCTTTCGTATGTCACCGCCTGTTTTCGCTAGAATATCTGTACAGGATGAAAACAGCAATTCATTCTACGCCCAACTATCCATGCTGGGCCAATGCTGGCCCTCTAACTGAGTTAATGGTGTTAATAACCGGTACGTTCAGCCCCCAACTTGAACCCTATAATTTTCCCAGATGTAGAGTGACTCACCAGATATCCTCCCTAGATTGTGTTACCTCTCTGAGAGTATTCCAGTTCTTATCGAGAGAACTTTTTCCTTACAGGGATTCCAACCTTCAACGTTCAGCATCCAAGCCTCTAACACCGGGCTCTTCCTCGTCTCATACGTTAAATGCTACAGAAAAGTTGTACTATTTCCTTTCATTCAAGGATCCTTTCCTCAGAAGTGGTACACCCAATAGGATTAGTGGATTTGATATTGCGAACGATTGAGGTTGGATTGAGCTCCGGCAACTTACTTCCAAACGGCTCTGAATAGCATAAACAAATATCCACACCTCCAGGTATCCTAGGCAGCTACACAGATTTCACAAAATAGGAAACTTCTTTCACAATTTTCCTACCTTTCAGGAGAACTCCTCAGTTCCCATGCTCTCTTAAAAAACAAAGACGATCGACAACAAAAAACATAATACTGTCTGTAGGGTAATCAAGGAGGTGATACATTCATTATTCCAGATTATTTGGTATTTTCTCTCCTCGTCTCTATAAAATAAAATTATCAATATTATTTCGATATACGTGCAGTGAGGACAAATCAGATGATTTGCCCAGAACTGTCACTGCGTTCAAAGACTTCACCTATCAGAGAGCCTGAAAAAAAATTCACTAGCTTGCCAGTGACAATTCTTATTGAAAAGTTTGTAAAACGGAAATGAAGGTGGAAAAAAAACATTTTCTCACTTATCTTTGGTCGTTTGGCGAACGAATCTGCTTCCGTTTTCAACATAAAGAATGTCATGACATTTTTCAGTTCTCAGTGACGATTGGTGACATTGGCAATCAAATGAGTTACAGGATGTTTCCATTAATCAATCTTGAATTTCCAATTATCATTTCCAGATTCCAGTAGTGAATACCATGTTCTATCTATATCAACTGAACAGAAAGCAATGCTATTCTCTCCGTTGAAAAGAATGCAAGTAGATTCCTTGATTTTTCTTTTCTGGTTGTGTTTTTTCTTCCAATGATGAAAGGTGGACTCAATCAGATGATATCGATTTGGCTCTATCATGAAGTGATTTGATTATTCCTTTCTCAATACTTTTCTGATGATTTGATCGAAAGTCCAGGTATCTGTAAGTATGTTTTATTTTGCGATAGATGATACCCGATTTCTCAATAAGCACATCTAGAAATGGTAACTGATTGTTAGATTCGATTTCTGAAGTGAACTTCATAGTAGGTTCGCCATTGTTCACATAATCCAGAAAATTATCTTGCTCCATGAAGTTATGTGGCCAAATAATGGAAATATCATTAACGTATCGTCACCATGTTTGAGGTTGTTGGTTGTAATTTCTGATGATGTTTTCTTAGAAATTCTCAATGAATATATTGCTTAAAATTGAAAATAATGGCGACCCCATGGCCGTTCCAAAGTTCTGTTGATGAAACTCATCATCCAATTGAAAATATGTTGTTTTTAGACACAATTCCATAGAATTCCAATTTGAAACAATATACTTATGGAGAATTCCGAAGGAAACATCATCAAAAATAACCACAAACAACCTAAAACATGAGGGCGATAATTCTCTGATTTATGTGAATAATGCCGAACCTACTATAACGTTCACTTTGAAAATTGAATCTAACAATCAGTTTCAATTTCTAGATGTTATTATCGAGAAATCAAATAACATCTCTGTAACAAGAAGAAGAATACCCATACTGACAGATACCAGAACTCTCAATCGAATCATCATTGAAGTATTAAGAAAGGAATAATCAATTCACTTCATGATATAGCCAAGTCAATATCATCTGACCAACAAAATCTCCAATATCGAAATTCATCACAAGAAATGTGCTCGAATTCAACTCCTATCCGAAGAATTTTATCGATAAGACGATTCATCAAATTGAAAACAAACAATGTCCACCGCAACAAAATCAACCATCAATAACGACAAATATAATACCATACATTCTTGGCACATCTGAAACAATAAAACGTGTTGGTGATGAATTCCAAGTGGTATTTGTGTTCAAAACTGAGAAAACAATTAGATCAATTCTAACTCAAACGAAGCCGAAGAAAAAAAGAACAATCGTCAAATTATTGTATTCACAGTATACCTTGTGTTTGTGGAAATTTCTATACGGGTGAGACCAAGAGACCTCTTTCAATAAGGACGAAGGAACATGAGTGCAATATAATGATAATACACATCGAAAAATCGTAGATGGACAACATATGGCAGAATGAGATAATATCAAAATCATTGGAAAAGAAGATAACCAGAAGAGAAAAATCGAGGAATCTGCTTGCATTCTTCTGAACGAAGACAATAGCATTGCTTCCTGTTCAGTTGATATAGATGAAACATGGTATCCACTACTGGAATCTGAAAATAAGCATGGTAAATTCAAGATTAATTAATGAAAACATCCTGTAACTCATTTGATTGCCAACGTCACCAATTGTCACTGAGAACTGAGAAGTGTCAAGACAAATACTAATTTGCTATTCAAATATTCATTCGTTTATGTTCAAATAAGGAGCAGATACGTTCCCAGAACGTCCAAAGCTAAGTGAAAATTCGATATTTTTTCTATATACCTTCATTCCTCTTTTCCGAACCTTTTTCAGTACAAATTGTCACTGACAAGCTAGTGAATTTTTCTTCGAGGCTCTCTGAAAGGAAAATTTTTCAAACGCAGTGACATTTTGGGGCAGATCATCTGATTTGTTCTTACTACACGTATATTGGAATAAAATTCATTTTTTCATTTTAAAGAAACGAAGAGAGAAAATCCCAAACAATCTGGAATGATGACTTTACTCCTCCTCTATAAACCTACAGACAGTATTCGAAATATAATTATCCATAACCCTCAAATTTCATTTCACTACATTCAATAATTATTAAAGAGTTATAGGGGTGAGCCACCTTGAAAAATCACTCGGTATATGGAGAACTAAAGATACCACAAATCTGAAGATTTGTAGACACCCCTTCGTGGCAGTTCGTGGTCACTTTGGAGACCTGCAAAACATCTCTTTCCAAAGACTCGTTCATCCAACGAACAGCGAGGCTCTGGAACACATTGCTAAGGGAGGTGTTCCCAGAGGCATATAGCCGCCAGAAATTCAAGAAGAACACCAATTCCTACCTTATTTCCCTTGGTACTCACGATGTTTTCTGAACATTACAGGATTTCCCTTTTCGTGGGAACCACAACATGAAAAAAAATCATTCAGTGGTTGTGATTGCAGTGAGTGTTCTGTTCAACCTTCAATAGTCACGATTGATTTACTGCATATCACCAGAAAATCACATTAAAATGGCGTATGTTCGATAGGCTAGGCTGTCATAACTCAGAATCAGTTTATTGTAGGATTGTGGTGTGATACATTATTTCGAATCAGAATCATGAAGAACATTACAAAATGTTGTGAAATACAGGATGTTCCGTTTGAAATAACGAAGACGACGTCAGTTTCAGAAGAACCTGAAGCTTCACGATGAGGAGAATATTGAAGATCCTACATGTTATTTTCAGGATCCCTACGGATTTAAGCACGATACTGAAAATTGGTAGGTACAGTGAAGAAAATATGGAGAATCCTACAAGAATATTCTCGTTATTGTGAAGCTCCTGGTTTTTCCGAGAGTCACATCAACTTTGTTATTCTATATGAGGCGCCTTTATGTCACACTGATTCTGATTTTTATTCATTTATCATAGGTACCCTATTCTTGAATGAACCGTTTTTCTGTTATTCGAGTTTTTATATATTTTTTATTTTTTATTATAGTTTTTATATGTAGTGATTGGTTCATGAGTTCTGAAGATCTTTCGGGTGCGATGAGTGAATGCGGAACATTTAGAATCCCAATTTTTTTCAAATCGATACTTCATTTTATTCTACTCATGATTCAATCCTCTCATTGAAATGGAGCCAAGTTCAGATCAACTCTTCGCTTTCTATCCAGAACCCATATTTTCAGTAGGATTTGCAAAATATCTGTAAACAAATGAATTGGAGTTGTTCACTGTCAGATTGATCATATTCGAAAGTTCAATATGGCTCTGGTTTTGAATAATCATCAAGACTTCGTTTGAATACGATCACACATAACTAGATCAACGAATTCTTTATTATTATACTCAATACAAGCCACATTTTGCATTTTTTCAGAAAATGAATCTCCAATTCATCAGATAGGTATCCTCCAGAGCCTACTAGATATATCCAGAAATAACCGGCAGTTACTACAGAATTGAGTACTATTTATGACAGATATCCAAAATTATGGGTTCTGGTTATAGGGAATGTAATTAGAACTAGTGCTCATTATTATAATGGAATTGGATCATGAGATGACAACTGGCGTTTCAATTTGAAAAAATTGTTATCATTGTTTCACATCCACTTTTTGAGGACACTTTTCTGCACACTATGTCAAATTTTCAGTTGTTGTGATGAAAGTGACTGATTTTTTTCATCTCTTGGAGCTCACGAAAGGAAATTCCTTTCATGTTAGAACAACATCGTGCGTACCTATAGGGATAATAGGAGAAAGAGGTTGATATGCTGAGTGTGTTTGAATTTTTAGAGGTTATACGTTCTTGAGAATACTCCTATTGTCATAGAATTTCGAAGTTTCCCTGTTCTATATAGACCAACAAGTGCCGTTCGACATACTTCAATCACTGCATATTTCTGAAAGAAGTAATTAACATGAAAATGATGATATTATCCGTGCTATTGACAAACATCGAGTTATTATTTTCTCGTCATTAGATTATAGCACAGCTTTTGACACCATGAACCACAAACTCTTGATTTCCAAATTGCGCTACTACGGTTTTCCTGATGGATCTAGAAATATCATCAACTTTTTTTTATATAACAGAAGTCTATGTGTACAGATGAATGATGAAAAATTGAGATATATAAATGTTTGGCACAGCGCTCCACAAAGGTCAGTTCTGTCTCCACTACTCTTCTTCTTTCATACTGCTGACTTCAAAAGTCTTCTGAATAAACTTCAAACGCTTACTTATGCCGATGATACAAATCTTTACCACTCAGCCAATATAAATACTATTTTGATACAGGAGTTATAACTTAATGAAGATATAGAAGAATTGGTCTGATTTTCAAGGAAATACTGTCTCAATATTAATTCAGCCAAATACTCTCCAATGATATTTGTTTTGATAAAGATCGACAAAAGGCCATGGACAATATTTCTGTAGTAGTGGGAGTCGACAGAATCAGCTGATAAAATTAGATGTCTCGGTTTGTCTATTTGAAATTGGTCAGGTATCATGGTAGGTCTGTTCTCATAGAGGCATTTCCTTAGTAACACTTTGAATATCACCCCGTGTGATACACTGATATCATCTACTTTTAATTACTGTGATATATATTGTTTATTGCACATGTCTTGATACGATACAATCGGTAAGAATTCAAGAAGTCCAAAATGCGTGTGAAAGATTCATTTATCTGATGGCATGTCATAATGACAACGTTATGTCACTCAATTTTGATGACATAAGGAAGCTCATTATGGGACTAAGTACCATAATGAATTCATTATGGGACTAAGTACCATAATGAATTCATTATGGTACTGAGTACCATAATGAAATTCTATAAGGAAAACATGTAATGGTTTGATCAAAAAAGTTTATTCAAAATGAATAACTATGTACAAAAACTATTTATTATAAATGGTAAAAGAACAATTACTACAATTTGTAATATTAATATAATGGCAAAGCACAGCTCACTCACCTACTAATATTTGAAACTACACAATACTTACTCCTTTAAAAATAGTTGTCATTGTGACATGTCGAAAATGCAGTTTTTAATTTTTCGAAAATGTATTGATATAAATGCCATCAGATAAAATTTTGTATGTAATACGAATCATAAACAATCATTATGGCACACGCCGTGTTATCGGACTCGGCTACGCCTCGCCCGATAACATTCACGACTTGTACCATAATGATCGTCTTTATGATCCTTATTACATAAATAACTATTATGGTCTTATATATAGAGATTATGTTACACCGTTCATAAATGAAATGGGGTGGTCGGAAATGTATAATGGAAGAAAACTCAAATTTGTCACTATCTTATTCAAACTCTTTATGAATGAAACGCCCACTCTTCTTTTAGATCAACTTCAAAACAGACAAAAAGCTCACTCAAGAGACCTCCGTCAGCTAGATAATCTTTCTATACCCTTTTATAAAACTTCCTTTCTCGAGCGATCCTTCCCAAACCATGCTGCCGTATCCTATAACTCTATTGATACAAATTTGAGAAGTCAATCTCTCACTACATTCTAGAGTAAGCTCAAGCAATCATTTATCGGTAGACAATGAGTCCTCAATTTCCTGTTTTCTCATACTCTTTCTTATCTTCATCATTATTATCATTATTCTACATTAGAATTTTATATTATTATATATGTTATTTTTATGTATCATTATTACTGCCTATAAGTTTATTTTTCTTCAATTCATAGCTTACATTGATAAAATGAAAGTATTTTATAAATATGTTCAATGAACAATTTCGTAACTTTGAAACTTGGTTGAGTGGAAGAATAATTTCAGCTAAACTCTGCCAAGAAAAATAAAGACCATTTTTCATCATTATTTTCATTAGAATGGCGCAATTCTCGACGAGATTGATTGGGTTCGACCTGTTGCGAGTACTTCTGAATGAGGGACAAATAACAAACGGATACTCAATTGAAATTTTCCAAACTTTCAATTGATGAATAAATCCTGCCAGATCCACCTTCAGAATTTCTGGATTACCTGAAGATTGTTCTTCACCTTTTTTGACATTCTAGTTGTCTAACATCTGTGGTCATCATCCTAAATACTAAAAAACATTGCAGCAGTTAGATGCACCGTAGTTCGCGAGTAGTTTTCATAATGTTCAGTGTCGTATAATATCTTCAACTCATTGTCATCACCATGATAAAAAAAATTTGGTGATTTATTTCCTTCCTTAAACCCTCGTATCTAATATACAAATGCAGGTAATATGAGGAATTTGCCAAACTGTCAATTGATAAATAAATCCTGCCAGATCCACATTCAAAATTTCTGGATTACCTGGAGATTGTTCTTCACCTTTTTTCATCCTGAATACTGGAAAACATTGCAGCAGTTAGTTGCACCGTAGTTCGCGAGTAGTTTTCATAATGTTCAGTGTCGTATAATATCTTCATCTCATTGTCATCACCATGAGAAAAAATTTTGTGATTCATTTCCTTCCTCAAACCCTCGTATCTTATATACAAATGAAGGTAATATGAACTATAGATGTACCCTGGTAACGAAATGAGTAAATGTACCGTGTAATGGCTAAAGCAGTGCAGAGATTCATTCAAATTACATCACGCCATTTTTCGTATCGAAATGTATAATGAAGACATTCTCCCTATTCTTCTGTAATTTTAAATTGGTGTCAGATTTCTCCTAATTGATCTGTGCTATGACGAAAAAATATCAAACCGTTTTGTCCAAGAAATAAAACACACAAGACAAACTGTATTGATTATTTTCTCGATCGGCTAGACTCACCACTGTGTTGCTTTTTGCGAGAAGAAAAATTCCAAATAAAATTCATCTCACTTTGTTTTCAGCAAATGACGTCATTGTTAGTGACACAATAGCTCTCGCTGGACACGTCGACAATCTGGATCTGGACAATATTTTCCAGAACGAAGTGGGTGGCCAGCAAACGATTCTGGACGTTTTGGATAAAAAGCACTTCCATGAAAATGTCACGATCCTAGGTGCTGTCCATATTAATGGAAATCTGAATGGAGTTAATGTCTCGGATCTGTGCGGATTCGCCTCGGATATAAAAGACGCTGGAAGCAGGCTCATTCTGGAGGGTAATAATTTTTTATGGTTGTCAAAAGTCCATTAGTATCAACATTCGTGAGTAAGAAATATGGAAGCAAGCCGTTTGGGAGCGAGTTAATGGTCTGAATATTTTTTAGTTTTATAGGCAGTAGCAGTTTAAATTTATGTAGTGGTTGATGCAGTATAGCGCAATCAACACTCTCATTTGGTGCTCGTTTATAAACAGTAATCCATCGAAATGAAGTTGAACATATGTAATTATGTAGAGAGTAGAGAGAGTAGAGAGATAATAATAGCATTATTTTTGTGGAAGGACTAATAATTGTGTAATTTCTCATCGCGGCTTCAATCTGATATGTCCAAGGTGTTCTGAGATGACAGTATGTTCTTTGATTTCATTTAATGAAATAGGTACTTTGTTTGGGTAGATATCACAAAACACAAGTTGTGGGAATAGAAAGATGAGATATTTCACAATCATCTGAAGGTAGGGAATGGCTGATGAAGAGAAACGTATCTACTAATCATGACTTCTGAATCGCTTGAATGTTTATCACCAAAATGAGAGCAGCCTCCGGCTGTCGTCACATTCTTGTACTGTTGCAAAAGTGTTGATATCAAACTATATATTGAAAGAAAAACATATTTTTATTACCAATATTAAAATCGAATTGCATTTCAGCTGAAACCAAATATCAGGAGTATCACTTCAAAAATATGAGTTGTACTAAAAAAAACACAAATAATTTTTCTAATAAACAAATTAAGGTTCCTATTATCCAATTTTCACAGACATTTCCTTGAGAAAGATAACAACTCGTATAAAAAACTGTCTCAATTGAGACGGTGTATCGCACAAAAGATAATTCTTACTCATCAAGAGACAAATATTTCTTCAAATACAATTCCAATTTCATCAGGTGTCCCCACATCAATCAAGGATTTACGAACACAATAATGTGGGTATTACACTTTACATTGATGTGCATCAAAAATAGTACAGAAAAATGGAGATATCATATTCAAACGGAACCCTTCACGTTAAAATTTACATTAATGACAAAATCAATTATCTTATTTCAATCAAACTACAGTTTTTGTATGATTTTTCTTGGTTTTTGAGATATCTGTGATGATGATGTGTCAGGGTTATAATGTTAGTGATCACACTAATCATCTTAGTGAACTACTCTAGCATATAATGAGAATTGGTCATCTTAAATGTGTTAACTCGAATTGAGTAATTTTGCGAGAAAAAAAATTCCATTCGGAAATGATGATATATTATGATGATAAGTTTGCGAGATAGTTCACATCAATATTGTGGTTCATAATGAGGTTGAAATTTGCGGAACATGATTATAGGTCATCCTGACATCATAAAGGAGTTCAAACAAGCACAAAAATAAATTTTGTTGGATATCTCGAAAACCAGGAAGGATTACGAAAAAAACTTCGGTCAGAAAGAAGTTAGATTCTTGATTTTGATTGAATAATCGAAATGCGGTCAGTGGCGTACTCCAAAGGAGTTACATCGATTTTCATCAAAGAGAATGCGAAATATCAATCTCCCTGCATAATAAAATTTGTATAACTCGTTTTTCATGCATATTCACGATATCAAATTATCTTACGAATTATAGAGCAGTATCATATGAAGATTTTGGAATATTCAAGCAAATCTGGAAATAAAATTATTCGTCATTGCTCTCTCACGGCTCAACGATACATTTTCGTATTGAGTTAAGTTGATTTTGATCGACCTAATCAGGTCTCTAGTTCATTTTGTAGAATTTATGGTACGTTGTTGTGGGACAATTTTTTCCACATCAGTGGTCATTGGGTCAGGTAGCCGTGCGGACAAAGTGCCAGTATTCAGATCCACATCCGCTTTCCGGTCGTGGGTTCAATTCCCCGCGACTGCAGGAATTTTTCTGATGGCCCAAGAAAGTGTTTGGGATCACACGTTGAAAGGTAAGGCCCCCGTCATTCCTTGCTCGCACGAGACTATCGACGACTTCTGAGGGTTGCTTGTAAGGGGGCAACCGAATGACGGCTAGAACAATTTGAGAACAATTTCAGAACAATTGCAAGAGTACATCGTTCAATGAAACAGGTGGCAGGAGGTTATTATTTTTACTCATATGTCATCAAACGTTTCGTAAAATTCCAGCTCTCATCATGTTTTACATTTATTCGTTTTTTTCAACAACATTGATAAGATGTTGCTTATCGTTGTCTCGATGGTGCACACCGGTAGGAGTCAATTCTTTGCCTATAAGGTGTTGATATGACACTGCAATAATGGAACTATTGTTCATCAAATCTGTCGAACATATTTCGCTTACTCTACATCTATCATTTTGAGTCGAATTTCGGAATTGGAATTCAAATACCATATGAAATGAGGAACTCTGTGTGATTTCTTGTACAACCAGAAGAGAATCCTGATTTCTATTCAGCTACTATTGAAGGTTTATACAAAATATTGACAATCTCAAAGTATTCGTCTAATTGACTAATTTCTATTCATTATCTTGTTTTCATGAATAAGAAACACCCAACATGACTCCTCAAACTCTACGAGGGAACACAGTGTTTCTTTCGATTTCAACCTCAACTGCATAATCAAAAAGGAAACAAATATCTTGAGATACATGAGATCTCGAAGTGTTTGGATTGGAATAACCAGAAGACTTAAGCAGTTCAATTCGAGAAATACCTGTAGTTTTTTGCAGCATCATTCAATGAAACATTTCAACAAATGACATATCTTCACGTCAATGGAGATAATAATGAAAATCTGAACACATCATAAACCATAATAAGAGTTGATTCAGATATTTCTTGTCGGCTATTTGAAAACCAGATTGACAGTCCCTGACCTTAGACTCGAGATGTTCCATCGGAAAACGGAGAAACTTCATCGGTGGCTAGAGGTCATTAAGCTGGTTCTGATAATATTATACAGAGTGTCCCTGAAAGGTCTGTACAGAATCTAAGCACAGTCCTGAGTTCAAAATGAGCCGACTTGACGCAACTTACCTCATTCCGGAATTGATCTATTTCTAAGATACAGGGTGGTGAATTTGCAATGGAAATCGGCTAGCATATTCCAGTCATTTTGAGAAAGCCATTTTTGCCCTGCTAATTTACCGACCAAATAACATCCACGCAGAGAACAGTACACATGTATTATTCAAAATAATTTAAATATTCCGGTAACTTCTTCACTAAACAATGAATCGTTGAGAAATCTCTTCGTCAATAAATGAATATCTTCATCTTCACTCACCGGCAAAAAAACCGGCCATCAAGAAATTCAACCAAGTTGTTCGCCCTGTAGCTTGTCCTCGACTTTGGTGAAATTTCGAACTAACTTTTATATTCATGTTTCAGAATGTTAGTCTGAGTATGAGGTTGAAAGATAAGTTGATGAATTGATCATTATACAGGCAAAAACAAAAGTTACTCTTGCACCCTCAACTTCTTAACACCCTGTGGCAAAGGTGGTTGGTTGAACTTAACTTCATTAGGTCTCCGATGGATGTGTGGTCCCTACTCAACACAATGTTGATTGATTCACGTTGATAACCACTTCTCAAGAGAAGATACAAGGGTTTTGAGAAAGTATGGATTTTTTTATTTTTATTAAGAATAATTCAAAACCATTCTCCAACCTTATTCTTCTTCATGTTCCGATTTGAGGTGTGATCCTATTTCGGCCCTTCTTAATACAATCGTTTCAGATTCATGTCAATATCTTATTTTCAAGAGAAGACACAAGTGTTTCAAGAAAGTATGAAATTCCTAAATTTTTATCAACAATAATTCAGAACCAATAGAGCATCTTAGGGATAAACTCCAGAGACTCATTCGTCTTCGTGCAGCATTTTCATAGACTCTTCAAGAGCTTTGGTTCGCCCTTCAATGGAAATTCAAGACAATTCTCTCGCCAATTCTTCATGACTACTTATGGAATATGATCATCTCGATGCGAGGGCGGTTGAATGCTGTAATGCAAACTAGAGGAGGGCATACTCGTTATTGATTGAAGGTCTGCTGTTTGTTTATTGTGATTGAAGTTTCTTCCGGTAGGTGCTACAAAAATGAGATAGAAAGGAGTTATATCAATTCAGTAAGTTGTTAATCAACTGACTTTATAAAATTACACTTACTTTGTCAATAAGAATTACTTCTTGGACAATAAAGCATGATTGAATATGTATATGTAGGTTCTGATTTCTGATTATTGTTAATAAGAAGTGAAAAATACTATACATGATGTGAAATTATTGTATCGAGAAAGAAAAACACTTCAATCCAAAACATGATGAAGCCAAGTACAACCACTCAATTCCACCATAGGGCGTTGACTCGGGCGTTGAGGACTTAACGGTGGAAGAGCAACTTTGGTTTTTCACGAACATTCCGGAACATAAATCTTCGATTTGATCAAAATTTCACAAAAATCGAACAAGCATCATGAAAGTTAAAGGGTGAACGATTTGGTAATTTGTTTTGTGGCCGTTTTTTTTTGCCGGTGAGTGTATAATTGTCGAGTTTGGTTTGCATTCTTCTGTTTTTGCGTTATGGACATCGAGTGCATGAATGTTTTGGCCCATGTATTTGATCATCGAAAAATTCTAGTGCCAAAAATTGAATAAGACTAAATTTTTTGGCACTACTGAAGATTATCGTCTCTGTTCCACGCTGGAAAGGTTATCTGGTATTAGGTACTCAATTGACACTGGAAGTCGAGTAAGTGCTCTTTCTGCCCAATTCCTCATCAATAAAACACCATCAAATTCATTCCTTCAAGAAGCTAATATTAGTGAAATTCATGCATACAGTTTTCGATCCATGACATAATATTTGCATTTCAAACGACAGTTCAAGTGGATTTTCATTGTGGCTAATATCGAATATCCTATTATTGGCATCGATTTTTTGAGACATTACTATTTATTAGTTGACACTTCCATTTCCAAAAACCGTTTGCTGGATAATTCGACAATTTTCAATATTGAATTTGTATCAACGAATATTATGTCATGTCAACTCATGCACATACAGGGTGATTCAGAATGTTTGTACGAATCTATATTGAACGAATTTCTATCTTTGAGTAAGGTTGATTATTCCCTCGTTGAACATGATATCACTCATTGCATTGAAACAACGGGTCTTCCAGTGCATGATCGTGCTCGCAGGTTACCTCCTGAGAAACTGAAAATAATCAGAGCAGAATTTGGCCATATGCTCGAAGTTGGAATCAAACGTCCATCTGCTGGTAGTTGGTCATCCTCTTTGCATGTTGTTCCTGAGAAATTATTTGATTGAAGACCAACAGGAGGTAAAAGGTCTCTGAATAAAGTGGAAATACCGGATAGATTTCCCGTCCCACACATCCAAGAATTTCATTCAAGTTTTCAAAAACCAAGGATATTTTCTAAAATTTACTCAGTCCGTGCTTATTTCCTAATTTCCGTCGAACCTTGTGACATTTCAGAAATTGCATTGATAACTCCTTTCGAATTATTTGAACAAACCCGAATGAGTTTTGGTTCACGGAATGCTGCACAAACCTTTCAGAGATTTATAGATAACATTACTCGATGGTTAGATTTATGCTACGCATACTCAGACGACATTCTCATCGCAAGTTCCTCAGAAGTAGATCATAAATCCTATCTGAGGCAACTATTCAAGTGATTTGAGAAGTTCGGCATAGTATTGAATGTATTAAAATGTGAAATTGGAAAAACAGAGTAATTTTTCAGGTAATGCATGAGATGAATTCTCGAGGTTATCACCCATTGTTAGTAAGAGTTGAGGCTGTAAAATATTATCTCAGACCTAACTCATTTTTAGGACTCATAACATTCCATCACAGATTAATTCCCGATTGTGCCAAAATTGGCACCTCTTAATGAGATGCTTCCAAACAAAAGCAAATCGAAGCATTCCCAGAATAAAGTTTGGAATACGATTTCGGAAAACGCCTCCGAAAGTGCCAAAAATATGTTAACAGGATCAACTATACTGTTTTATCCAAAACATGAAGCTCCAACCAGTTTGGATGATAAATCTAATGATACTATTAAAGCTGTTTCACAATCAGTATATTCAGTATATCAATAACATGTGGTGTCCGATTTCCTTTTTCTGTAGAACATTATCTCAAGCATGAACTAGATATAGCACTTTCGGCAAACAGTTACTTGTAATCGTTTCGGCAATTAAGCATTTTAGATATTTTGTTGATGGTTAAGATTTTTTTATGTTCACTGATCACAAACCATTAACCTCCACCCAATAAAGGGGTTCAAACTTGAACGATGGAAACTTGTTATTTCTATAGACCTCAATCGCAGATTCGTGATTAGGTTTTCTCAAATCAGAATGTCTTTCCACGTCCTGTATGATGAATATCAATTCATCATAAATCAAGAAAGATTTTACTCTCATGATTGCCAAGAATTATTTCATTCATAATCCTGGAGAAATCCAACAAATGGAATTTATTTCCGAATTTTCACCCGATATTGAGTATGTTGAAGGTATTGAAAATAATGTAGCAGATTCATTCTCCAGAATGTTTATCAATACTTTGAATCAAGATGATATAATTATTGACTATATAGATTGCGAATTATCAAAAGGAAGACAGAACTATCAACATTACTTGAAAAATTTTGGAAAAAGTTGAATTCACTTGAATTCCAGGAAATTCATGTACCTAAGAGTAATACGAAATTAATTTGTGTCATTTCTTTGAATAAACCTAGACCATTTATTCCCAAACAGTTTCGGCAAAAAATTTTGAGAATGCACATTATTTCAAGTATTAGAGCCACTCAAATTATTCAACAAGAGATTTATTTGGCCGAACATGAAAAAAGATGTTATATTTTGGTCCAAACATTGTATCAGTTGTCAAAAATCGAACATTATTCGACATAATGTTGCAACAATTCAAGAATTTCCTACCTCTGATTGTCGTTTCGATCATATAAATATATCCATTAGTAGGTCCATCACCATATCGTCAAGGATTTGATTATATCTTGACATGTATCGATAGGTATACCAGGTGAACCGAGGTTTTTTCTTTGAAAGATCTATCAGCCGAAACTGTTGAATAAACTGTAATCTATGGATGGATGTAGAGATTCGGAATTCTTTCAGTTACCACTACTGATCGAGGCAAACAATTTGAGTCATCCTCATTTGAAGAATTGATGGAATTTCTAAGCATTGAAAGAATTCGATAGACACAAGCTATCACCCAATGAGCAACGGTATAAAAGAAAGAATTCACAGAAGTCTCGAAGCATCCCCGAGATGTTATTTCAATTCATATTATTACTGGGTTGATAACTTACCTTTGGTTTTGGTACTGGAATGATTTATGGTACAACACTCGGATTACCAAATGCGTATTATTCTCAATCGAGTATCGAATCAAAATCAGATACATCAACATTCTCACTTGTATTGAGAAATGTTGTCAGTACGTTGAAACCAGCATACAGGATAGGAAATGTCATAAGATATTTCATTTCTGGAGATCTGTCTAATTCAATTCATGTATTTTTGCGTACTTTATATATTTTTGTGTTTTATGATGTGTATATGTATACAGTGCGTTCATAAAGTGTGGAAACGCTCCATTATCTTACGATATAATTATTTTCAGAGGTAAAGATCGGACAGGTCGATTTTGTATTTCAGTCTTCCATCTTTTTTTACAAAAAAAATATTTTTTCCCCCACCACCTTACAAGATATGACGTCATCGATATTTTTTTTAAATTGAAAGGGTATATTTTTATATCAAAAATTGAAAGCCCATATTTTTCTGAGTTCAACCATACCACATACGTCATATCTTACACTTCAAGTTACAGTATACTGAGTATAAAAGAAACCAGTGTTCATATTTCTCAACATTCATTTAATTATTTATTTTGCAATATTCGACTAAAATCAAATATTATGTAATAATTTTTATCTACTTTCAAAAATATTGATGTTTTCATGTTGTGAATGTTCTTTTACACATGTATTATTTCCCACTTAATGGAAGCCAGCTTCAACAAACAAACAAAGTGTTTTATAATCGATAACAAGGATTTAATTTCCATATCAATTTTAATTGTTTTATAGAGTTCCTGATGAAGAGCCAATAAAGACTCGAAAGCTTGAACAGAAACAAGAGTACACTTTGTTTTTTTTCTTTGACTGCATACCCGAAGGGTATCAACAGTTTCATCCTATATGTATATATACGGTTTTATTGACGTTTTCTCTTATTATTTGTACATTGTTACATTCTTGCATCAACTGTACTTTTCAATTTGAGAAATATATATTATTATCATTATTATTATTATTATTATATAATAAATTAATCAACACACTCCAACCTCGCTATTCAGGTCCACATAAAGTGTTGAAAATAATGCAAAAATATCGATCGTTTGAATCCAGCATTTTTTGAAAACCACTGCGTGAGAATGGACGATGATTCCTCCACATTCCGCAAATTCTCGATAAAGATCCCAAGAAGAAAGAGGTTTCTTGGAACAACAATGTACACTTGACTAATAATTTTCATTGTTTCCATGTCGATTATATTTTATCTGAAGGGAGGCTATGTAGGCTATTCGCATGTTCTATATCTTGAGTCGTTTATTATAGTGATGTAATTGCAGAAGTTTCAACTATGACGGTATTAATATTGTAATTTGAGGTTACCTAAAAGGTACATCTTTGGTATTATTCATTATAAAATTATATCCTGATGATTATCTTCTCTCCTATAAGTACCCCCAATAGCACACAACATCCTAGGAACGTCCCTATTTGGTACAATTCACGTCCGAATGTCTTGAACCAAAAATAAGGGTCCTTGAGACGTCCTTGCTCGAACATTGCATGAGATATACGGGATGTCCCAGCTGGTACATCATTTCGAACGTCCTAGAAATGGCATCCCTTAGACGTCCCACGTAGTACATATTGTAGAATGCCCATGCAAGGACGTTCTTGGCATGTCCGTGATGAGATATGATTTTAAACGTTCCTTTAGGGACATCCATCGGATGTCCCGAGTAGTACATATACTGGCATGACTTCAGATCTTATATAATGTCCCTTCTAGACAACCATGAAATGACCCTGATGGAACATTCCTTCAAATATCTCTGCACAGGCGCCCTCAATATTTCCAGGATAGTATATCAATCGAAATGTCCCTTAGGGACGTCCTTCAAATGTCCGTCGGATGTCCCAATTGGTACATAAACTGTACTCTTCCAATGTCCAAGAAATAACGTCCTATGGAAGTACTAGTCGGTACTTTCAATATGTTGTCCCTGCGAGGACGTTAACTTACACCTCGCCGACGAATGATTGCTCGTAGGCTATAAGTACTCCTCGTCAATGTCCTTCACGTAAGTCTATTGGACATCCTTGGGAAATTTTTTGTGGACCTTCTACGGACCATCAACTCAACTGGATGTCCTAATCTGTTATGCAAGATCTGGTCCTAAAGGGACCCAGACAAATTCAAATTCAAGTATAATTCGTACGTCCCTGGAACATCCTATGAACATCCAATTGATATCCCTCAGCGTTGCTGATAGTTTGTCCTATGGATGTCCTGAGGACGTCCTCTGTAGTGCTTGATGAGGAATACTGTAGGATTTAGGTACTCGATAGTTGTCCCAGGGACGTCTCTCAAGAACGTCCCCAGTTGGTCCTCAATTGGGACATTTGTGCGTCCCACAGACGTCCAATGGACGTCCACGGTACCAAATTCGAACGTCCTATGGACGTCCTGTATGTCCCGACAGGAGGTCCTAAGGATATCCATGGGACATAAGTGTGTTATTGGGGACCTATGTATTTGATCTGTTGGTTGTACAGAATTGTTTGAATGAAGGTAGACTGCTTCTATTTTTGCTCAAATGAATGTGATCAGGAGCTTTATTCTAATTTATCTGTTTTTGTAGTACCAACCTTCAATTTGAATTAGCTATCATCACTACAGAGATTATACTATAAGATATTGAATCTGTGAAATTCCATGCAGGATATCATGAATATAATTTCAATGTGATTCATAGAAGGCAAGCATTCCAAATAAAATCATTAATTACCCACCTGAACATTTTTTCAATGTCATGTTTTTTTCGCCCACCCATGTAGATTGCAATTCTAAAGTGGATTTCACTGATTTTGCTCATTCATTTCCATTATCACAATATTTGAAAGAGAAACGGGCATACATATTTTTCCTAGTCCTAGTTTGTGAAGACTTCACCAGTAACTTATCATGCACAATATGAACTTTTGATCATTCCAATCATGTTTCCTTGAATAGGCACTACATATAGATGTTAATCATTGATGAGATATAATTATGGATAATAGCTTCTCCTTGTTTTCCTTATAGGAGCAATGGAGTGAGAAATGGAGAACGAATTAGGGAGTTCCTGTTACTTTTTTGTAGTAGGAACATGAACCTACATCCTGTTTTCAAATTCATATACTGATTTTCCATCATCAGGAAATATTTTTTGAGTGCTGGAATCAGTTTACTCAGCAACAGAACTGAGTCGATATTAATTTACAGATCTTGTCCTGTAGGTCGTCGAAAAAGCAGGAACTGAAAATCAACGGAATGTGTTCAATGGATTATATGGA